TTCTATTGTCAAAATATTATAAAATTATTAGTAAAACATTTTATAATTCATAGAAAATGAAAAATAAAAAAACAAAAGAAATACCTAGGCGCCCTAGTCGGCCCTTAGGCGGACTAGACATCCCTTCTTGACTACCGCCTAACACCTTTTAGAGCACTTGGTATACTTAGTCATTCTACTTTCTTTACTGACCCACTCATAGTGTTCAAGTGGCTAATGCTACTAATTTATTCATTGTGAGTGTTGGCAATGTTGCTTTAAATCTTCTCTAGTCATCCTTGAAATTAAAAAATGTTTTGCATGTTCCCACTAATAAATACTTCGTATACTCTAATGCCGGTTCATAAATTATGTGTGGATAATCATTGTACTGTGGTTTTCACAGGAAAAAATTGTTGCTAAGGAGAATCAAACGAGGAAGGTTTTACTTTCAGAAAGAATGACATAAATATTACTCATGGAATTTAGATGAACAAAAATATGAGTAAATTCTAAATGGACAAAAAAGTGAGTTTTTAAAAAAGGGTTAATTATCAAAATAGGACTAAAAGTCACTCACTTTGCACAAATAGGACCAAAAAATAAATTATGTTTTCAGAGGACTAATTATGTGTGTCTTGAACAAATATACCCTTATAGCTATTGAAATGTTTTAATTCATAATAAAATAATAAAAAATAATAAAAATTCGTAAAAAACACTAAAAAATTAATAAAAATATTTCGATGATAATAATTTATTTATTTATCTATTTTCATTTTTTTAAAAAAAATCAAAAAGATAAAATAAAATTCACCGCCGCCTCTGCACCACCACCTCCAGTCACCAGGAGAAAAAAAATGCCAAGCTCATTACGAATACCATATTTATGGCAGAAAACAATGAAAATGTTGGCATTTTCAAAGAGAAATATGTCACGTTTTTTGCATTTTCAGAAAAATTGGAAAATTTTAGGAAAAATGTCACTTTTTCACCGGCCGGAGATGGTGGTGCAGGGAGGTAGTACAGGCGGTGAGAAATGCATCCATTTTTTTTTTAATTTTTTAAGGAGTTTTACTATTTTTTATTAATTTTTTTAAAAAATAAAAATTTAATTTTTTAATTTTTTATTTTATAAATATTTTTTAAATGTTTTAATTATTTTTCTACGATTTTTTGAATTTTTTTCGAATTTATTATGAATTAAACATTTAATTAACTCATATTTAAAAGAAGGGTAAGAATAAAATGAAAAAATAGGTATGTTTCCAATAGGACTAATATGGTCCAATTTTGAAAAGAAAAACATAATAAATCCTATTTTGAGTTTTTGTCACAGTTTTAGTCCTATTCAGAGTAATTTCTAAAAAAATTGATCTGTCTCTTTTCCCAAATCCCAGCGCTCTCAATCACCTCCTTCTCCTCCCAGCGCGAAGCCTCCTTGCAACACCGCTGAAGAAAGCCACATCTCGGCTCCTCCACCACTCCAATGCATCCCCAGATCTGCTATCGTCTATCTTCTTCTCTTTTCTTCATCTTCTGTGGCGCCTCCACCTGCTAGCATCAACACCACGCAGGGTCGGTTCTGGGGCATGGGCAACGGGGCATGCGCTCAGGAGGGACCATTGCTCCGCTAGGGTCCATAAATTTCCCAGTTATATATATGCATTTTTATTTTAATTATATATCTATAAAAATTTTAAAAAAATCACTTATAATTTTCTTATACTTTCAATTCATTATTCAAAAACATCTACAAACTACAAGTTTAAAATTTTGAAATTAAACATCAATACTACAATTCATTGGAAACAAACTTCACCATTTCTTTTGATTCATTAAGAGTCAGCGCATAAATGTTAATTTTTTTATATACTTCTCTCATGTAAACTCACAATTCATTGATACTTCGTAGTACTTTGATAAATTTTTTTAATTCTCTCATGAAATGAAAGAATTAATAAATGTGATTTGAAATATGAAAATTTTTCTTCATATAAGATATAACTTTCACATGTTTCCCTAATTCAAAATTCTTTATGGCAATTACAGATTGTACTACTTTTCCATTAGGGAAAAGGGGCAAATAAGGCCACGTACTAACAAAAAAAGGTCAAATAAGGCCTTATTTATGAGACTCTGTCCGGCCTTCGCCATTTGGGTTGGTTCTAGGTGGAATTTTTTGATGAAATTTTTTGAGCATCTTATTCAGTAAGTCTAGTTTACTCATACCAAATTTAAACTAAAACTTCAATCGGGAAGCCATTCAAATGAATTCTTGAAGATAATTGCGCAGTTAAAAGCGCAGTTATCTTCAAGAATTCATTTGAATGCCTTCTCGATTAACTTTTTATCTGAAATTTGGTATGAGCAAACTAGACTTAATGAATAAGATGGTCAAGAAAATTAATCAAAAAATTCCACCGAGAACCACCCCAAATGGCGAAGGCCGGACAGAGCCTCATAAATAAGGCCTTATTTGACTTTTTTTGGTTAGTACGTGGCCTTATTTGCCCCTTTTCCCTTTCCATTAATTAGGCCGGTTTAGTTACATAGTATTCCCGGATGTCACTAACCAAATATTTAAATATAATCTTTCTAACTGTCTCATTTATTAATTTCTTTGATGTGTTATACTCATATTTATATAATAAAATTGCTCAATTTTACTTATAATATTTTTAAAATAAAAAATATAAACATTCATACATTATCCATTTATCCCTAAGGCCTACTCTATCTATAATGTCCCGGGTTCATAAAATGTCAGGACCGAGCCTGACACCACGCTATCATTGCCGCCGCTCGTCGCACTTCGCCGTCTTCTACATCTCTTCTTCTATCTGACTGTGTACATCACTTGTTCAATTTGACGATGATGGAGATGAATCTAGTCGGCTCGCTCACCATCGTCTATGGGTTGGGATAAGGCTAAGGTTACAGGTTTGGATGGGGCTAGGGTTACGGTGGTTGGGATGGGGCTAGGGTTGGGCAGCAGTGCAATTGGAGACAAGGCAATAGATTGGTGGTGAGGGCTGAGCGACACTGGGGGTAGATTGTGGCTAGCTAGGGAGGGGATTGGGGAGTTGCGGGGGAGTAGGGGAGGGGTAGGAGGTAGGGGTAGTAGGCGGTCCCAGACATAGGAGCGATGGGTGCGGTGTCGGCGGCGGTTTCACTGAGCGGAAACTGCGGAGGGCGTATAATATTTTCACCGGAAATAGTAGTTGACATTTTTTCCGTCGACACAACGACATGATTAACAGGACAGTGACATGCATAAGTGACATGAAAATCTGACAATAACAAATTCTTAGTGACATAAAAATGCAGTGACATAAAACTCTTGCAGTGACATTTTTTCCCAAAAATATGACCTTATTGATCACATTTTTCAACATTAAAAGTAGTCACACTTTTTTGAAATTACCTTTAATTTAATAATACTTAGGGACAAACCCCTTTACCTCAGTTCCAGAAGAGGTCATGTATATCCCTTTTGACCTGTGGCCCTTTATTACCAAATCCGTCGCTGGTTCTCTTTGTCATCAACGACTTGGACATTAAGGGGATCGTGTTCTTAAGATTTTACAAAAACATTTCATTTCAAGTATAGTCATCTTTCTCACAATTGTGTTTCTTGTCGTTTTAGGAAAGTCCCACTGTTTATCATTTCAAGATGTTCAACATTGTTTTACTAATAATCTTGAGTTAATTCATTATGATGTGTGACAATCACTGTTTTTGTCTAATTTAAGATTTAAATATTATGTTTATCCTATACATGAAAAATCCCAAAATTTCGCTCATTTTATACATGTTGGATCACTTGATGGAAAATCTTTTTTATTATAAAATTATACTCCCTCCGTCCCATAAAATAAGTCTCATTTCAATTTGGATCGAAGTTTTAAAAAGTGAGAATAAAGTGGAAATGTATGGTTGTGGTTGAGTAAGAAAAAGGTAAATGAATGTCAGTCACACAAAACTTTCCAAAAAGGAAATTGTGAACAATTTTTTGGGACGGCCCAAAAAGGAAAATGAGACTTATTTTATGGGACGGAGGGAGTACATTTTCAAAATGGTGAGGGTGATGAGTTTGATAATTTTACTTTTCACAAACACTTAACCAACCGTGTCATTAAGAAAATTTTGATCAGATACTCAGGCTCAATGCTTCAGAAAATCCAACTATTGCAATCTTTTTTTCTTCATAATTTGTCAACGAGAAGCTTCATTCTTTTCCAACCGTGACAAAGTCACCTAGGCTCTTCAGTTGGGTTTAGTGCAAAGATACTTTTAATTATAATATAATATTGAAATAACAAACATAACATCAAATAAATGACATAATTAATGTATCGAGGCACTTTTAAAAATCTAAACACGAGTCATATATTTATTTTCTATTTTTATTTTAGTAATTTACAAGCAAAAAAACCTCTAAGTTTAGACATATCATATATGTCCATATTATTTTTACTTTAGAATTCAACCATGACTACACAAATCCATTTTATTAAAATTTGTGATAATTGAGTTTAGATTCTAACCTTAATGAGTTGAAGTATTAATGTAATACTACGTATAGGATTATAGTTTCAATAATGCTTCGTATATACGATCTAATTGTACACGACATTTTACACGTCAATCAAATTATTTGTGTACATACATTTTTTCTTGTTGTTAAGATGATCGTTAGACATATTTATTATTTGTCGATGTGAGAAACGATTCTCTTTTCAAAACGAAAAAATTGTCTGTGCACCAACAATTTAATGGACGTAAAAAAAAATTAAAATGTTGCTTACGATTTGACCTGTATAAACATCATTTTTCAAAAAAAAAAAGATGACACCCCATCTCTAAGGGTCGGCCCCCAACCCCGACCGGATGATACGTTTGAAGGATATAAATTGGACTATAATCCCAATCTGTCAGATACAGAGTGAAGTTCTGTACTTGTCATGTCACTTTCCTTGTAGTCTAGTCCCAACATAATGCTTCTTTTGGGGGGAAGCGGGAGAAATGGAGAAACCAAATGGTGCCAAGTTTTGGACACAAAGTGAGGGTGGAGGACGACTCTAATGTCTTTTTTTCTCCATGATTTGTCAACGAGAAGCTTCATGGGATTTTATTGTTTTTACGAAACTGACGAGTGGGGAAAGCATGCTTTTCTTTCAATTTATTATGCTTAACCAACTCTCTCTCTCTCTCTTCCAGTTAAAGCAAGAAGCCCAGCCAGCTATGCTGTGAGCTCTTCACTCTCATAGACCCACCTCCTCCTCTCTCTCTCTGTACTTCTCCCTCCAGTTCCTCTTCATAAATAACGCACCGCTCTGAATCTGAACTTCAGCCAGGATTCCCAGCTCAGAGCTGTTGCTGTCGCTGCTCTGGAGTTTCCGTTCTGTCGGAAATCGGAACTGCCGGTTGGCGGTTGCTCCACATGGCCGGAAAGAAATTCGTTCACATTTCCGACGCGGCGGTGCTACGCGGCAGGGATTTCGGCCTCCTAGTTCAGCATTCACTGTAGAGCTTGCTCCGGGTCCGTTTTCTGCAAAATGCTAGCAGGTAATTAGTAATTACTGCTTCTGCCGGATACTCCGCTGGAGCTTTGTTTGTATGTTTTCCTATTTCCTCGGCTCGTTTTTAAGTGCGGGAAGCTTGGTAGTTGCAGATCTGAGGAAAAGTGGGAAACTGACTTCAGTTCATGTTTGTTTGCGTTTGAGCTTGGTGTAATTAATAATGTGTAGAATTCTTTTGATTTTTCTATATCTGGAGTATATATAGTATCTATGTGTAATAATGGCCTGGCCGAAATTCCGGAGACTGAAGGGATTTTGGTTGTTCAACGCCCCACCTACCCAATTTGAACCGGATTTAGCTTGAAATTTGGTAAGAAATAAGACAATCATGCCTCTCCCTTTTCTGCTAGGTTTATCTTGTAAACTGCAGCTGTCTTTGGAGTAGAGTGTTTGGCTGTTTGGTACTCGGGTAGATCAGATAAAGTGACAATTATTCATGGAAATTGTTTTCTATTGCTTCTGAAATTGCATGGTCGAGCACTCTATCATTTGAAACATCTCACATGAACCCCTGAGGAATGTCAACTCTTCATCGTGGCTCTCTATGGGCTGCATTTGATTCCACTTACCTATGAAATAATCATTTTCATGCCTTTTTGGTGTAAAAGTGGTTGAAAAAGCACATCCCTCTGCCTTTACATTCCGTGTTGTTGTTTTCCATTTGGACGTTGGTTCTTTAATTCTTTTATGATTTGAAAGCTTTCTGGGCAACATGTATAGGGAATAATGAGAATAGGCCCAACTTTTGTAGTTTTGAAACTAGAGAAGTTTAAAATTGAAATTATTGTACATTACTATGGGTCTTTCTGACCCATTTTGTAACTTACAGTACATTTTAGAGGCTGTCCAAAGCATATGGCTTCTAAATTGAACTCCACTATTTTATACTTGATCTCTTTATCTATCATTTCACTTTTTGTATTTTAAGTGGACACATACAAATTTTTCTTTCTTTTTGGAGGTTACAATTATAGAAGAACAACTTCATCCTTTATTTTCTTAAACCGGTGTCAAAACAAAGTGCATCTTACATCTTGGGACAGAAAGAGAATTATTCTTCAAATTGTACTAACAATGTTTCTAGTCTCTATTTTGAGTCAAAAACTTAAGAAGGCCACAAGAACAAATATGGGGAATCTAAAATTTGATTTTGAATGCCAATGTAAAGTCTAAATATCTTCTATTAAGGATTTCTTGTCATTAACATTTATGTTTCCGATTAATGTTATTTGCCAAATAAAATAACACTTTGAAAAGAAAAACATCAGAATTCCAGAATACACTATGATCACTAGCTCACTTATTTTTTAACATAGACATGCATAGTGAGAATTATCCCCGCTTATTTTCCACTCCTAACATAAACATCAGAACTAAGTACTTAATTGTACATGGATGCTCTAAGCTAAATCAATATGCTAATGATTAACATGAACTCCATACACTATCTGATCACTGGCTCAAACCTATGCCCTGGTTTTCTTGTAAAGGCTTTCTCCTTCTCTATTTCTTGTGCCTATTAGTTATATATTTCATGTTATTCACACCTATTATCAATCTATTATTTCTATCATTACAGGAAAGTGTTTCACACACCAGATTTTCCTAATGAAAGCGTGCTCCACCTACAAGTTGCTATGCTTTCTATTTGTTATCATTACAACAACTATTCTACCCCTGGCTCATGGTGATCTAAAGTCAGACGAAGAAGCTCTGCTTGCCTTTGCTGCCTCTATTCACCACGGACGGAAGATTAACTGGAATTCTGGGATCCCCATCTGCTCATCATGGGTTGGCATTAATTGTAGCAGAGATGGGACCCATGTTGTAACAGTTCGACTTCCAGGAGTTGGACTCACTGGTGAAATCCCCAAAAACACCCTTGGAAAGTTAAATGGTTTAAGGGTTCTCAGTCTTAGATCCAATGTCATATATGGAACTCTTCCTTCTGACCTTACTTCACTTCCTGCTATTCGCAACCTCTTCCTCCAACATAACAACTTGTCTGGACAAATACCAACTTTTCCCAAGCAATTAAGCATTCTGGATCTTTCATATAATTCCTTCAGTGGTACCATTCCTCCCTCAGTGATTCAGAATTTGACCCACTTGACTGTATTGAACCTCCAAAATAACTCCCTATCTGGACCTATACCTAATATTACACTTCCAAGGCTAAAACATTTGAATTTAAGTTACAACCATCTAAATGGCTCTATTCCGTCCTCTCTTCAAAAGTTTCCCAAGTCTTCATTTCTAGGAAACTCTTTCTTATGTGGATTACCATTAAGAACTCCTTGTTCTTCGCCTCTTCGACCACCACCGCTGTCTCCTCCCAATGCCCATTTATCACATGGTCCTGAAGAACGTGGACATAGGAAGAAATTTATTATTATTATCGCTGTTGCAGCGTGTGGAACTGCAGTGATATTTCTTGTAGCTCTATTGATTCTCATGAAAAGAAAAAAAAGTGAGGGTAGGGGTGTACTAAAAGGGAAACCTTCTGGTGGGGGAAGGAGTGAGAAACCAAGCGAGGAATTTGGGAGTGGGGTGCAAGAGGCAGAGAAAAATAAGTTGGTTTTCTTTGAGGGATGCTCATACAATTTTGATCTTGAGGACTTATTGAGGGCATCGGCCGAAGTGCTAGGGAAAGGGAGCTATGGGACTGGATACAAGGCTATTCTGGAGGAGTCTATAACAGTAGTTGTCAAGAGACTCAAAGAAGTCATTGTGGGGAAGAAGGAGTTTGAACAACAGATGGAGATCATAGGTAGAGTTGGACAGCATCCAAACGTTGTTCCTCTGCGTGCTTATTATTACTCCAAGGATGAGAAGCTTCTAGTCTGCGATTATTTCTCCAGAGGCAATTTGGCAATGCTCCTCCATGGTATAATTTTCTGAATCCTTTCCCTTGACTATAATGGTCCGTTTGGAACTCAGAAAATACTGGGTAGGTAAGATAGAAACGGAAATGAGGAGAGAAAACTTGGGGGAAGTTAAAGGATATAAATTCAATTTCAATAAATTATTTTAGATATATGTTCAAATTCTTTTTGTTTATTTATATATTTCTATTATATATAGACTAAGAAGCAAGAAACATAGATATACGACTTTTTAAAAATATATCATTTCATATCCTTTACATTTGAAAAGGTAAATCACAACATAAATAATTTACATGGCATTTTATTTTCTTTCTGTAATACTTACCGTGATCCATACATACCCCAAAACTTTGAGGTGGAAGTAAAACAAATGGCAAAACTTCTTTTTGGTGGTGGGGTTTTAGTGAATCATACCTAGCTTTGCATAAAGTAAAAGGGATTGTGTATGCAATGTATTGTTGTAGTGCAAGTGGGCAACTCCCCTTTATATATGTGAATTTTTTATTTAGATGTTACATTCTGCTAATGTTATGTGTAGTAAACATAAGATTATAACCATCATATATATGACTGTTTGGCTTCTTGTTAGTTCACTGGCTGGATAGTGATTATGATTTCTTCTAGTATCACATAATCAGCATTCCATCTCCTTGATAGGAAATAAGGCCACTGGGAGGACTGCTTTGGACTGGGAAACCAGAGTTAAAATAGCCCTGGCAGCAGCAAGGGGGATAGCCCATATCCATTCCACGGGTGGTCCGAAGTTCACTCACGGAAACATAAAATCCACAAATGTCCTCATCAACCAAGAAGATTCAGATGCACGCATCTCTGATTACGGATTAGCTCCTCTGATGAATGCCCCGGCAGCCCGGTCTAGGCATCCCGGGTACCGGGCCCCTGAGGTGATTGAAACCCGAAAGCACACACACAAGTCAGACGTGTATAGCTTTGGGGTCTTGCTACTAGAGATGCTCACTGGGAAACAGCCCACCCAATCACCGGGGCGTGATGACATGGTTGATCTCCCAAAGTGGGTCCAGTCAGTGGTGAGGGAAGAATGGACTGCAGAAGTGTTTGATGTCGAGTTGTTGAGGTATCAAAACGTTGAAGAAGATATGGTTCAAATGCTTCAGATCGCGATGGCCTGTGTTGTGAAGGTTCCGGAGATGAGGCCAAGCATGGATGATGTTGTTAGGATGGTTGAAGAGGTACAGCAATCTGACCCTGAAAACCGAGCATCTTCTGAAGAGAACAAATCCAAGGACTCATCAAATGTGCAGACCCCTTGATTCTTTTGGATTTATGATCTTAGTGATTTTTGTTTGCTTATTATTGTCAAAATTATATTTATTATATATATAGGCATTGTTTAGGTATTCCTCTTTAGGAGCGGCCTGGTTTGCAAGTGCATTTTCTGTGTTTATGGTTATAAACCATCAACAGCTGATTGATGTGTTCTTCTCTAGTACTCCGTATTTCTTAATTATCCAATGGGAATAGTACGTACCCAATATTATGACATTAGAAACGAAAGAATTAATGAATTATTAGAGCAATTTTAAACATCACTCTAACAATGACATAGAATTACATAACTAAGTACGAAGTACGAACTACGAAGTATTTGATTATTATGACAATGATAAAACGTCAAGTATATGACTGATATAGAACCAGTGGAATAAGAATCGGATATAAAGTTTCTTATTACTTTTTTATTAAAGCAATTAGATAACCATCTCACGAGAGAACACGAGAATGTTTTGAAACAGTGGGGTATAAGAAAAAGTAAGGGATTGGTATGGTTTGGTCCTTCAACTAAGAGAGAAGTGTCAAATTGATCCTACTACTGTGTAGGAAAGTCAATTCACTTTTCGTACTTAAAGTTTCTTCAATTATATCATATAATAATCAAATTTGATTATTAGTAGGTAACTCGTCGCACACATGACATGGCGTGGCACAAACGTGGCAGCCCACATCACTTATTTATTTTATTTTTCCTTTTTCTTTGACTTTTACCTTATTCTTTTCTTTTTTCCCCTTTTCTATCCTTCTTTCCCCCTTTTCCCCTTTCGCAGGTCATCTTCTTCCACCGGCCAGTCATGCAATTCTGCAAACCGTCCACGGAATCTTGCTGCCACCTTCTCTTTTTCTTCCTTTAATTCTCTTTCTCGTTACCCTCTCTTGCTTTCTCTGTCAACGATCGGCAAGAGGCAAAAAAATTAGGGAGAATTCACTCAGTAGGAGTAAAAAAGTTTTGAAATTCCAAAATAGCACTGTCATGTTTTTTATTCCCTGAATATGAGTAAATTTCTATCAAGTTTTGACTTTAAAATATGTCAATTTCTGTCAAGTTTGAAATTTGAAAACGTTTCTAAAAAATTACGGAGTATTGTTCATTCGGAGATTAATTTTTGTTCAGGACTCAAGTGTGGGTGGTGTTTTTTTTTCATTTTGGAGGCTAGATTGGAGTTCGATGGGAAGGTACAACGCTCCATATCAATTTTGAGCTACTGAAACGAGTTTTGGAGGTTGATTTGTTGCTCGCCGGTGCTTCTCTTTTTCGGACTACTCCGAAATGTTTTTCCAGCGGTTTTATGGCTTGGAATAAAAAACAGAACATGCAAAGGAGGTCTCCGTCAACAGGTGCACCTTCTCATATTTTTAGTTTTTCCAAGCATTCTTCATTTTGGCGACTCTTGTACACCCAGATATCATGCGCAGAAGATGGAAGAAGAAGAAGATAGGTTGCCTGGAAATGAAAATAAAAAAAGGAAAACGAAAAAGAGGAAAATGAAAAGGAAAAAATAAAAAGGTGACGGCTGTCAAGTTTGTACTCCGTCATGCCACGTGTGCGCCACATCATCAGGTAACCTGCTGACTGGTGGGTTACCTGCTAATGATCGGATTTGACAGAAATTTCAAAGTAGCAAGACATAAATGAAGAAACTTATAGTACGAGGACTGAATTGATTTTCTGAACAAATTAGAAGGACTTATTTGACATTTTTCTCTTGAACTAATATTGGACAACCATGCTTGGTGTATACAAAATGTGTATACTCCCTATTTTTCTTTCTTTTCTCTCTCATTTTCATCACCTTCACCTCTACCATAACCATATTCTCCACTCATCTTCATCTTCACCATCTTCATCATCTTCAACTTCCATCTACCTCACCATATTCATCACCCCTCCTTCACCATCTTTCATATATATCACCATCATAATATTGTAGAAACGGAGAAAATGAAATTTTAAATTCATCGGAAAGTTGTCAGAAAAAAAAATATAGACACTAATTTTTTTACAACGATTGTGTATGTGGATCGTTGCGCTTACCGCTACACTAAAAACAATCGCTGATAGTGTGACACGCTCCTCTCCCTTTATAGCACAAGCGAAGCACCACGCGGTTCGATTGCACCAGCAGGCTGGCAGATTGCTGGCACCGCATACCCGCGACCCAACAATCTCCCTCGAGTACCTGCCAGCCTCAACTGCGCAACATGCTGTTGTCGGGGGTCGAACCCGTGACCTTTGCTCTGATACCACTTGTGGATCGTTGCGCTTACCGCTACACTAAAAGCAATCGCTGATAGTGTAGCACGCTCCTCTCCCTTTATAGCATAAGTGAAGCACCACACGGTTCGATTGCACCGCGGGCTGGCAGATTGCTGGCACCGCATACCCGCGACCCAACAGTGTACTGACGAACACTTTGTCACGGTGCGTCAAAATAATTTCAATACTAAACACTTATACGTAGTATAGCGTAGTAGAGTTCGTATCCATAGGGAAAAGAATGATTCTCTTTTTATTAAACTAGTAATTAAAAAGGGGGGATTTTGGTTTTGAGTGATTTAATTTAATTAAGAAACTAAGATGAACAACCTATATGTGTTTAATTCAAGAATAAAAGGGACTTGGCTTTGCTACTTTCCACTCGTTTATATATTTTAGTTGATCCTTTTCATATCTATAACTTATCCCTCTTGAATACTCAATCGAGGAGTATCTCCAATTCATCGAGGGTAGTTATTAACAACGATCGTTCATTAACAACCCTTACTATTAATCAAATATAGAACAACGCCGTATACCGATATAATAGTAGCATTCAATCTTTTAACTCCTTGATGAAATCAATTGAGATTGATAACCTTAACACAACGGTCTCGGTTTAACCAATAAAATTGATCCCTTTTAAGTTTATTAACCACGACCGTGCATTAATAAACCGAAGTTACTTACTTATGAAACCATCAATGATTAACCATCGGTTCGTTGATCGTTTCTAGTAGTAATTAATGTCGGAACGTTAACTAATCGTCACTTAGCAACCCTCCAACATTAATATAGAATGAGATTAAGGGAAGAATTAACAATCAAGCGAAGAAGTTAAGAAAATAACTCACAACTTTAATAATCAACAAGCTTCAAGAGCAAAACCAAGAATGGAAGTTTAGCTCCTCATTTGGAGACTAAACATAGCTAGAAAATATAAAGAAATGCTATTCTAAACTGAGCTTAAGAGTATGGAAGAAGGAATTGGATGATCATTTGTGAAGGAAAGGGGGTGTATTTATAGGCTTTTGGGATGGGATTCGGGTACTCGATCGGGTATATACATGGTACCCGATCGAGTATGTGTGTAATACCCGATTCGAGGTATACTCGATCGGTTTTAGGCTATTTTCCAAAGGTATACCCGATCGGGTATATGTTTATACCCGGTCGAGTATGCTTAGAAAGTGATATTCGAGCCATACTCGACCGATTTTCGTTTAAAACTCAAAGGCATACCCGATCGGGTATGTCGGTCTACCCGATCGGGTATAGACATTTAATCGTGGCCGAAATCTTCCCGGCATGTTCCCTTGTCTTCGGATCTGATCCGATTTGAAGTTTCAACCTAATACCCGATCGAGTATAGGTAATACTCAACCGAGTATAGACCAAAATTTCAGGATCCTTCTTTCTTTTGATTTTTGCACCTTCCTTCCACTTTTGGGGTACACCAATTGTCCTTTGAGTGATCAAGACCTGTTTGAGCTCAGAATATACCTAATCTAAACTATTTACAAGAATTTAACAAACTAAACTATTACACCAAAAGTGTGTAATTTCCAAAGTAAAGATCAAGCAAAACTAATTAAAAACACAAACATACACATGGCAATTACAAATGTATCAACTCCCCCACACTTAGTTTCTTTACTCGTCCTCGAGTAAGATCAAATGTTCACAAGTGTCAAGTTTTTCCAAAGTTTCCACAGTTTAAACAACATACAAACACAAAGACCACCAAGGATAACAAAAATGAGTTTTAAGCTCAAATTACAAAGAACATCTTGGGTTTTACGGCCTTCTAGTGTTCATCTTCTCTTCTCCTCCTCTCTTCTTCTTTGTTTTCTGAATCTTCTTATTCTTCAAAGAGATACAATGAGTGCCTGCAAAAACAAACATTTCTCTCATATCTCTCATTTTGCCTAGGAGCCTTTTCAGGTTTTCATCCTAGCATCTCTTTTCATTTTCCATTCTTCCCAACTCACTCATTTTTTTATAAGCCTTTTTTGCTTAGATTGCCCATTTTGTTGGGTTTTCAACCTAACTAGCATTTATTTTCTTTTATTTATTTAATTTTTTTTGTGTGTAAAAAGTTCAAAAGAATTACATGCATAGTGCGAGGTGGAAATTAAAATTACATACCATGATGAGTCTCTCCCCCGCACTTGAACCAAACACTGTCCCTAGTGCCCGCCTTCTCCGCCGTAGTAGCTGCCTCCGAAGCCGCTCCCCTGCCCGCCATCTCCCATGTATGTGTCCCCACCATCTCCGCCATCGTACCCTCCACCCCCGGAGCCAGATCCTCCAAAGTTACCCCAACGAGTGGGGTCATACCACGAGGGTGGTGGAGGGGGGTTTGCCATGGTATGAAAAGATCCCTGCTGTGCCATGTAAGAGTACATAGGTCCATAGAACCTACGTTGGTCTTCTTCATACCGATGCCTATCGGCTTCTCGGAGCTCCTCCAATTGCTGAAAACCGGCCCTTTGCTCCTCCTGTATTTGGTTGAGCCGGTTGTCCATAGCCATGTAGTTCTCGTTCATTTGAGTGTACCCCGTAAGCAATTGTTGTTGACCCTCCAAAAGTTGTTGAAAGAAGTCGGGTGGTGGAGGGTTTTGAGTTTGTTCGGGGATATCGTTGTTCATGTCTTCATGGCCATGGGGTTGAGCATAGGGCTCGTAATCGGGTTGGTGTTGGGGAGGTTCTTGCTCCGGTTCTTGGAGATGTGGTGGAAGGGCATGTGGGAATTGGTAATGGGGCTCCTCTACTGCTTCTCTGTAGCGCAGTTTGGGAAGTTCTTGGTTGGGTAGGAGGAAGTATTTGAGAGGCTTGGGGTGTATGAGCCAGTTGTACATATTTGTTTGGTCTTTCTTCACTATAAACTGTGTGGGAAAAGGCTGTACATCCCGAGTGGCCCAACCAAGAGATGTTCATCAAACAATAGTCGGGTATATGAGAGTTATCCGTATACC